TTTTGCCTTCATGGCATGCTCAGAGTTCGCCTTCAGCTCCTTCTCTTTCTCGTCACACTCTTTGGTGAGTTTGACCACTGTCCTTTGGAGCTCCTCGTTCTCCTCGCCTCTCTTTTCGAGCTCGGCCTTCTGGAAGTCCATTGTGCGAAGGGCATAATTTCTCTCTACCAAGTACTAATTCGCTTGAATGTGGACTGTTTTCACATTTGCATCCAGAGCCACGTCTTATTTTAGCTTAGTATTCTCTTCCCTCAGCTTGTAGAACCTTCCAGCAGAGTCCAGATCGATCTTTTGTTGGGCCATATGCAAGGCGAGCATGGACTGTATGAGAAAAGAAACAAGAGTTAGCCTCCTTTGGGCAACTGCGACCTCCCCCTCTCCTCTGCGCGAGCTCTTAGGCACCGTCAAAGTGCTAGGCATGCTCCTCGGAGGCACCCCCAAGCAAAAAGCCTAGTAAGGCTGTGATCCCCCCGGCGGCATCCCGAAGCCCTCCGGCTCGGACTCCGATTCCTCCTTGGCAAGCAGCTACTTCATCTTCTTGGTTTTTTGGCCCATAGTTTTCTACTTAGCGTCATGAGTAGCCACGGGCCGAGAAGCTTCTCCACATCGCTCCGTGGGTGTTCGCCTTTTGGCATTAAACTGTATCCCTCATGTAGGGATATCGTCAGGGATCACCTTAGATGGCTCGATCGGGTTGACCCGGGGAAACACAAACCCTGTAGTCCTCATCGACGGCCTTGAAACCCTGGGTGACATGGTCACTACGCGCCATGAAAGCATGTTAGCGAAAAGGTCACCTCAGGAAAAAGAAAGGGGGTATAAGTAGGAAGATACTTACGGGCTAATTCCTAAAATGCTTTCGAATTGAAAAAACGATACTTTCTTAAGTTCCAGTAGTCACAAGTAGTCTCCTATTGTGACTCTGCTCGGGTAGATGATTGAATGTCATAATTCGGTTAAAGTCTGTCAGAGTTGTCAATCTGGTTGTCTTATTTCTTGCAAAGAAACAAAAAGTTCGTTAAATATAAGAACTGAAGAAAAAAGGGACAGTTCACAAATCGAAGGAAAGGAAAACCTACTCTGCTCCCTAAATTGGCAAACGCCATCATATTCAAAAAAGAAAAATTTGGTCTCATAAGCCCTGAAGTTACTGGGGTAACAAAATATTCCCCCCTCAATCATAGATCACTTTGAGAGGTAAAAAGAGTCTTTATCTTTACTTTTCTTCAGATAGTAAATGCATGCGAGCTCCAACGCTGTCAGCTCGCCAATACCATTTTCGCCACATGCGATATACATAGTAACTGCTATCATATATGCACTAGGTGTCAATTGCAATGGCGCGACCTCGAAGTGGTTGAGGATCGATCTAATGAAGAGGTGAAAAGGTATCAATGCCCCACACTTAAAGATCGCCTCGGAGATCGTGGCCATTCCCTCTAGGGGATTCCGAGCTATGTACATCCTATGCTGGTAGACATCCATGCTAAGTGTGAACTGGTCCATCGCTTTCTATATCTCGTCCCAAGTGGCCACTGATAATGCTTCTTGCACAAGACCTGTTGAGGTGTCTGGCACCTACGAGCTCGTCCCCTCGGCTGCTCTAGTCGCTGAAGTATCTATTACTCCTAAAATCTGAAAAAGGGGCGACATGCAGAGATAGCTCAGTCTCTGTACAGTGTTTCGTACGATGATGTGGAAGAGCAAAAGAAACCCTAGTTTACCTTCCTTAACCCTTAGAAAAACCCTAAAAACTTTTGGGAATGAATTCCCAAGAATCCGTGTCCTAAGTTCTCACTTTTTACAAAGAAAAAAGTTCTCTTCTTACCACTATCTAGAAATATGCACCATGTAAGCTAACCAAGTAGTTCACACCCACCATTACCGTAAAATCAAGCTTTTAATAAAAAATAATATAAGAAAATGAAGGAGAAACCTTCCATACCTCTTGACTATTGGGAACGAACTTCCTGTCGTAATGAACAGTGCGCATCAACTGGAAGAAGAACGGACTGATTTCGCGAGTGCAAGAGTTTTGTTTTTCTCTTTGAAAATGTGAGTTCTATGATAAAACTTGAGGCGAACCTGGGGTTTTATAGAGGGAAAGACGACGATTGGTTTCCCTAAGCAAGCGACGCTTGGGCGGGATATGTTTCTCACCATTGATTACGACCACATGTCGTTAAACAACGAGAAGAGTAACCTTCACACTTCGTGGATGCGAATCAACGTTTCCTTATATTGGAGCAACTAAGCGTCAGCGTGGTTACCTCCTCAACATTAAATGCGCCCTCATCCGCATTTGATGCTCTCAAAGGGAATGTCGTTTCAGCATGGCTTACATTTAATGTGCATGGTTGGCATTTATTGCGCAATAGACACGTCTGTCAGAATAAAGTTTATTTTATTGACTAGACTAGTTGTCAAGCGCAACGGATAATATTTGAAGAGGTCGTTTGAGTAAAACACTCTTCACCGTGTACCGATTTCAAAACGATGTGATTCCTAGTTTTCAGTAAAAATGTGCTAAGTATTTTTAGGTCACAAGCCACAGATGAAATTCAAAGCATGTTAGTATAGCACTGAGTAGGGTCCGACCCAGGTCACTGAACCTGTGGGAGAAGGTCGCTTGTGCTATTCTTAGAGACCTATGCTGCAGCCTCTTTACAGCTCGATGGTCGTGTTGAACCACTAGTTTCACATTATCTTAACTGCTTGAAATCAAGGCTGACGTAAACTCATGCCAGCAAGGGCCAATTAAAGTTTTGGAAGGGGTTGTGCCATCTAGACGTGGCCACGTCGCGCAAGGACGGAAGAGGTAAGACTATCGTCAGTGTGGCAAGTGAATGTCAGGCTTGTGAGTGGCTTGGAATTGTCCACCTGCCCAAGCTCTTTGCGATTTATGGATGTCTCCCGTGCAAACATCCAATGGGAAGTAGGTTAGAAATTATACCACACCTGCCCGATTGGAGAATCATGATTACTACCTTGAATTCCCCAACTATAAATAGATGGCTCCTCTCTCATTTACGGGATTAGCTCATCTTTAGTCTTCAAAAGCATACTCTCTCTCTCTTCATATATATATTTCAATTCTCTCGAGATTGTAATTCAGCTCGTTGAACGCAACCTGACTGTAACCATCTATTAATACAATCATAGTGGACCTACGATTTGCTTTTAGGCACCCGAACCACTTTAAAAACTGCTTCTCATTTATTATCTCATTGCATATTTCCATGCACTAAGTCATCTTAGCATTTTGCACATACGAGTCGTTGGTGTCAAAATCAAGCATTAACACTAATAATGGTGAAGATGATGATGGTAGATACAGCAACAACTATGTCCATCAGAACCCTCCTAAGCCAATACCAAATAGACCTTTTAGGGGAGGAGACCATTTAATAATCATAATCCATCTCAATATTCTTCTCACACTCACTTCAATAACACTAACAGAGCTCGCCCTCAACCATCCGAGGTTGCCGATGATGTTCAATCAAACGAGAATTTCCTAGAAAAATTCAAACTGTCTGTGGAGAAGAAGGCAGAAAAGCCCTCACAAAATGATGCACCAATAGCAACACAACACAAGATTGATCCTCCCCAANTTTACTGTGAGAAATCAAAATTGGTGGACTTGAACAACACAAAATCAAATCAAGTTGATAAGCAACATCATTGTAAGTTGTAACAAGCTTCAGAATGAGAAGCATGGGTTCATATTGAAAATGGTCAAGTCATTAGGTGAAGGGCAAGATGGTCATCTTCAACCATAGGGAGCAAGCAAAGCAACTTTTAGTGGTGAAATTTTTAAGAAAAGTGAGGGTGGATAAGTGAGTAGATGAATTATTCAGTTAAACTTCAGATCACCATTTCTCAATCATCATCAGCTATTTAAAGCCTATCGCAAAAGACTAAACTTCCCCACTAGCTTTGTTAAGAGTCCCATTGGATGTTGGAAATCGTACAAACCAGCCTATCAATTTTGTTGAAGTTAATAGGCATGGAAATCTTTTGGGATGAATCATTCCATGGATCTTAATAAAGCATTGGGGGGTTTCGGGGTGAGGGAATTGAATCTCTCTCATCACTCTCTCCTCCAAAATTCAACTGTTTGTCTGTGCTTAGCTTAGCCATCAGGTTTGGTTAATGCATGGCAAACCGGCAAGTCACAAAACGGCATTGGGCTCGGTTTCGAGTCTTGTTATGTTATGGCTTTCTCCTCTTTTTATATTTATGTATATGTAATGTTGTAGTTCCTGCATGAGATTGCAATAAAAGTTCATGTTTTTATAAGCAGAACCTCTCAGCAAGCTGATTTGCTTGCTGCATATTAAGTAGGTATGTTATCATCTTCTCTTGCTCTCTCTTTCTCTTCTTCTCTGTGCATGTTTTTTGTCTCATTAAATTAAAGAAGATTCTGCTTTTGCCATTATAGCTCAACTTCTAATTCTTCCTTCAGTTGTGAATACTGGGAAATTTCTGGGAATTAACTCGTTCGACATTGGTACATTTATATTTATTTATTTATTTTACACATGCAACTCGTTAATTAGGGGCAAGAAGATACCCATTTACCAGAACGGAGCCATCTAAGAAACAGGAGAAGTTGGTTGATAAGGAGAAAAATCATAACAACATTAAATGTGCAAATGCAGTAACAAGAAATGACAACTTCCTGTGTTTCAATTAGAAGCATAATGACAGGTTTCTTCAATAATCAATAGGGTGTCCTCTGAAAGTTATAGAATCTGATAGTCAATAGTCTGCTGAACAGCCAACAAAGAAAACAAGTTACACATTCTTCGCCATTAACGGAGTTTTTGATAAGTCTGATCACTGAAAACAAATACCACAAGGGACATAAGCCCACTATGGAAAAACCCAGTCACAGATTCTTGAGCCCCCAACCTTGCTTTCAGTTAATACATCACTAAAACTACATATTTTTAGCCTCAAGTAAAATTGTAACTTGAGAATAATCTAAAATTCTTACCAATATCCTCCCAATTTGGAAAACCTAATTATATTGTTTGTAATTTGAAACGTTAATATGCAAAATCCATTTGTACATCTGCCTGTTTTGCACAAACTTGATGTATACTATTCTAAGCCGAATTAAAACTCATAAGTCATGTGAAATTGGCAGGAAAAATCTAAAAGAGTACAAGCAATTAATTATTATTTAATGCCAGTTTGTATACAACTCTGTTCAGTTTCTCCAGGATCCGATTCCAGCTTTCAAGAGGGAGGCGTATAACAATTCATTCCAAGAGTCTGGTACTCCAGGCAAGCACCAATGACTGCAATCTTGAACTCGCTCAGCAGCAATTCGTTCTTCGGCAGTCTTGTATTCCATTCTATATATTGCCGGGTGCCCATCTTTTCTGAAAGCAGTAAGTCTACTTATGTTCAAATATACTACTGGAGTTTTCATTTCCGGAAGCACATGCTCCAGAGCTCTCATTTTTGAAGGATACTTAGTTAAGTAAGTTCCATTGAAGAATGGCTCAGTTTCTTTGTGGCACTGTCCTCCTGAGTTCCATGGGCCTCCTCTGAAACCACATCAAGCAGTCAGAAACCTTTTTCCGCAGATCACATGATCAGATAAACAAAAACGGGAATATTCCTTATAACTTGTTAATTTGTATATCTACTGCCCTTATTTTCAAACTATAAGATTTTAAAATGAGAACTATAAATTATTAGATTTTCACATGAGAACTCTAATAATGATCCATAAAAATACAAAATCTTTCATTTAGAGATAACAGCCAGAATGGATAATTACGGCCTTAGTTTTGCCTGAGAAGGTCAACAAATGGCAAGATCTAGGAGATTGTGCAATATAGCATTGGAAAATACACTAACCTTAAGTATAAGGTTTTATTAACATGCATTCTAAACAACTTGCATCATAATTCACAATTCCTCCTTTGTTGAACCATGATACATAGTATGCAAACCAGTAGTAGAAAGGTAACCATCTTAAAATAAGACAAAGCTGTTTTTCAATGAATAACAACTACATGTAAGATTAACCACAGAAAACAAAAGAAAGGTCAAAAAGGCAAACGGCCTCAAAGCAGACAAGGTTGGGCAGAGATACCAGGAACTATTATTCTTGAGATTTGGTCATGGAAGATTGTTTTAAAAAGTCAATAAATACAAATTTGTAAGAACAATATAACGAAAAGCACACATGGTGTTCATCCATTGCATAAAGGTAAGTGAAGGAACATACAATCGTATACCTAAAATGGGAGACAGAATATCCCCTGAAGAAAACCTGAGTTCGATGGCTATCAATGTTATTGTCAATCCATCTGGCCCAAGTGGTGAGTGCTCTCTTATAAGCTTCTAGCACCTTAAGTCTTGGGTGCACATAGTTACCTTCTTGGTAATAGTCTTCTCTGTGAACCACAAAATACCAGAAAGAAAAAAGAAAGATTTAATAACTTGACTGGCACTCTAAATTTCAAATGACAAAATGAATAACAATGTCATGCAGAAAATTTTGAAGCAACAGAGCACAAAAACTTTCTTTTCCATATCACTTATTTTCTTTCAAATAATAACTTTATTAAACTTAAGTCATCGTTTAACAATTTTGCAATATCAGAATGATATATGTAAACAATATGAAACAGTAGTGCAAGACACCAAATTATGAGATTCACCCTTTAGAAGTTTTCTCGTGGGTCCACCAATGACCTGTATTGAAGATAATGATGTCAGCATCGTGGTACATTGAAGTTGTCCGGTCCATCAAATCCAATCTTAGTGTTTCCATGGATCCATTTCTACCCCTAAATGATGATTCTCTAACAAGAAATGGCGAGCCAACAAAATCCACAGTACAATTATAGTCCTACAAAAAACAGGAAATGAATCATCTGATAGATGGATGCTTGTAAAATAAAGTATTTCTTACACTAAATGAAGGATCCCCCTGAAACTTGCCTCAAATAGGAAAGCATAAAAACCGTTCTTTTTAAACTCTGTCTTTCCAGAAATCTCATAAACTCTTTTCTTGTTTCGGACACTATGGCGGAGTATACACACTAGAGATTCCCACATGTTCCGATTCAGTGAATCTCCCACAAAAACCAGCTTCTTGTCTCTTAATCTCTCAAGAAAATCAGTTGCATTCAAACTGGAAGCAGTCAACAAAGAGTCAAGAACAATGTTATATTTCTACCCAAACACTCCACTGCATATGTACAGAGGCTGGTACACGATAGAATCACCAGCACATTTTATCCACTAACCTCCAAAATGAAAATAATGCATAGATAAAATCCCCAACTAAAGTGATGGAACTTTAATCATAATTCAAACATTAACCACATAAGTCTAAATAAATCACAGAAAGTTAACATTGTAAACTTGTAGCCTTTCTCTGCTGATGAAGTTTATTACTAACACAAGTTAACCAAGAACTGTCTATACATATCACAGGAAGACTAATGGAACTCTTTGGGTAACATTCAGTAGCAAAACAATTTTTCTATAATTAAATAAGACTTGTAAGCATGTTGTTATCAGTTAAGCTTTTTCATCAACTTTTGTTAACTATAAATCATTGAAATCATAATATGAGTGCACTTTCAACACCAATTAAAGGTAAAAGAATGGAGATAGATTTCACCTGGGGATGTCACACCCGTATGGCTGCCATTTCCATTTAACATATCCATCATCTGGTCTTCCATTAATGTGACAATCAAAATCCTTATCAATGTAAGGACATGAACCCGCAGGATAATATGGCTTTGAATCATCTCTCAACCATCTACCATCAAATATATCACAATTTCCAAAAGAATTTGCATGCTTCTTCATAAGTCGAGAATCATAAGAGATTGAAATATTATTTGGCTGAGAAGCATTCCCACCATCTTGTGACAAATTACTAAAATTGTTATTATTATTAGTGACCTTGCCATTCATATCGGTAGTATTATTCACAGAATAATTCCTTTCAATAATTCTCTTCGAATACACATCTTCTTTGGCATTAAGACTGCAATTCCCACATAAATGTTCTTTTTCACCAATGAAGCTTCCATTATTATTTACCCTCTCTGAGAAATTCCCCAAATTCTTCTCTAAAATCACTTCTTCCACAATTGAAGCCAAATTATTTCTGTTCTCAGCAACAAGTGATCCATTTTGAATCCTTCCTGTTCCATCTTCGACCTTGGTAGTCAAATTCCCCAGATCAGTAATCCCTTGCCCCTCACCGATTCTTGACACATTTGCTTCTTGGGACTTGCCCACCACATCCACAGAGTTATTCACTTGTTTATTACCACCCATACTAATAGCACTACCATTAAACGAAGAAGTTGAAAATGAAAAAGGCCAGGATCTAGTAATATGCGAAGCATTTTTGCTACTAATGCCATTGAATCCTTGAAACAACGGAGCAACAATAGGAGTCTTCACAGAGTTACTAAGCAAAAGAACAGTAAGTACAATGACAGAAGCAAACACACCCAAACCAAAGCCAGAAACTACCTTTCTTCTTGGAGATAGTCGAAGCTGTTCAGAAAAGGAAAGTTTCTTCAAATCCATTGCCTACGAATCAATGCATGCATACCCTTCCAGTAGAAAAATAGAGAGCTGAAATACGAAGAGTTAGGGATCTAAGCGAGCAAAGTTTGAAAGAGAAAAAGGATAAAAGAGTTGTGTTGTGTTGGGAGATTATAACAAAGAAATAAATGGCGTGACATTGTTGGGTTGTACTGAAAGAGGTTTAAAAAAAAATAAAAAAAATAGGAGATTATAACAAAGAAATAAATGGCGTGACATTGTTGGGTTGTACTGAAAGAGGTTTAAAAAAAAATAAAAAGGTTAAGTTTAGAGAAGAAGAAGAATGAGATTGTTGGAAATAGTATCAGTTTGTTTCTACCATGAGTACCATCAGTTCCAACAGGGAACTTCACCGCCGGAATTACTAAACTGTCCGTTGTTCAACCTCTTTGAATTTACACCCGAGTCTCCATTCAAAAATGATCTCTATGCAAGTTAAGATTAAGAGAAATGATAGATGATGTATAAAGTGACGTGACAGCTGTTATATACCGTTTATGAAAAAAAAAAAAATTGATGTGAAATTAGTAATGTAACAGTGTCACCTCATTTTATACCTTTTTATAAGAGTTTTTGTATATATAGTACTTCTCTAAAGATTAGAAGTCAAAAGTTATTCCTTCAAAATTCGGGTGTGTTTATTTTATTATTTCGACCACCACCTTCGGAATTTGACTAGAATCTGGTGTCATTGTGCATGACTGGCCAGATTTAGTCAGTCGTGCACTGTTATGGTCTTTTTCGGCCAGATCCACCATAGATCTGGCCTTTGACTGCTGGATCTTGCCACAATTGGCTGTCAACGATGGCAAAATATATAGTTGTTGTTGACGGTCAACGACGACCATATATTAGCCTTTATTGACGGTCAGATCTTTGGTTGTGGATCTATGCCAGATCAGTGCACTACCGACCATATTTAGCCGGTGGTGCACCATTATGCCAGATTTCGACCACTTTTTGGTATTAGTTGCTAGAATTTGACAAATGTTGGCGGGTGGGGGTGTTTTTATCAATTTATAAAAAAAATTTGTTGAGAGTGTTTAGTTAAATTAACAAATCTATGAAGGTTTAAAATAGTTGAACATTATAAAATATGATTTTGAGAATAGAGAAACAAATATGCATTTAAAAAAAAAAAAAAGAATAGAGTATTTAAAAAAAAAAAAAAGGAAACAAACGCACCCTTTATCATAATTTTAGTAACATAATCCTTAAAAACAAGAGTTAACTGACGTTTGATACCTTTGATTTAATTTATTCAAGATTTTTCATCAATTATTTGGGTGGAAAAAAGACTTCTACTCTAAAAACAAATCTAATAGCATGCGATGATTCCGGCGGAATTTGTTTATTTCTTTACAAATCTAATAGTCGCCAAGGGTAACTAATTGTCGCCGAGGGTATATTCGTCACCGAAGGAAAAAACAAATAGCTACCCGTTAACTGTAAAAAACGCAACACAAGAAGAAAGTGGGACACGTGGCGTTCTCATAACCGTTACACAGCCGGTTTGCAGATTGCGATGTTGGTCGGGTATGAGCCACGTGCTGCTCTTTCTTGTTCTTGTTAAAGTTAAAAGCACTAATGCGTGTACCGGTAATTGCAATTTGCAAATGCGACCCATACAAATACACGCCACGTGGGTATATTTGGTCATAGTGGGACATAGTTGCTGGACTTTCGTAACACCGGAACCTTTTCCCAAGTGAGCGCGGGAAAAAAGCGATACTTACCCGATCCGAGGGAGAACAAAACGACGGCGTCTCATGAACATTGATTCGAGTCCACTGAGATCCGATCTGTGAAGCTTCTTCACTGAATCACAAGAGAAATTATTAATTAATGATTCTACTGTTTATGGAGCAAAAATCTGCAGAATTGATGAAAATTATCATTGTCTCGTAAATTTATGCAAAATCAAGCAATTGTTAATAATAATTAAGAAAACGAATTTTAATAATCTAAATATTGTAATACTACACATACATCATTTTCATACAACATTTTTCATACAACATTATGTGGCAAGATATGATTGATTAATTTAAAGTTAAAATTAAACTTTCACCCAATCATATCTTGCCACATAATGTTGTATGAAAATAATGTATGTGTAGTATTTTTCATCTAAATATACCTCTCTTATATTTTTTTTAAAAAATTTCATTAAATCCATTTAATATTGAAAATGGTCCTCTAAACTTAATTAAATATTCATTTTTCTAATTTTTCTCCAATTTCAAACTTAGTTTTTCATGTAAACTTAAAAACAAACTCATCATAAGCAAAGAATTAATAATCAATTCATGTTTCTATGCCCTAAGTTGCACAAATATAAAATTACAGGATCTTGAAACTTGATGAACTTTCACATACATATAAAAGAAATACATACCTGATTCCATAGTTTGAAAATTAAAACTTGAATTTTGATTGAATAAAAAATAGGCAGCGTTTCTCTCTCATTCTTCTCTTCTGTAATTGCAAACTCTCTTGATGGACAGAGAAAAATTTTTAGCGTATATTGAGAATAGAGAGAGGACCCACCTTTTATATTATAGTTATTTAATTAACTGCAAACATCACACCTTTCCATCAAAGGTTAAAGACCAATATGCCGTTCAATTAAATTAATTATTACTAAACATTATATTATATATAATTCACATGGACCACTTTATAAGAATTATAAATGATTCTAACATTCTCCCACTTGGTTCATGTGTCATAAAAATAAAACTTTACAGCTTAGTAATTAAACATAATGTGTACACAATAATAATTAATTAAGGTCATATTTTAAATGGTCAAGATATAAACATTATAAAGTAGGAACCTATAAGGATCATGTCGGTCATATGTTATTAAATCAACATATTCTCTTCCATGTATCACTTTACAAATTCTATACTCAGAATAATCTATAATAATTCTTAATGGTCCAACAATAATGCCCTTATCAAGGACAAATTATGTCATCTTTATCATTCATGTATACAAAATAACATAATATAAAAAAACATACAACAGAATAACTTATATCAATCAGAAACAATACATCAAGAGCTCAGAGTGACTAAACATAAAGAGCTTTATGTACATAAAAACAATATAATGTCAAGGAACATATACAATACATTATAAATCAATCATGATGGGCAATAATACCCATCCTTTCAACATGCTCACTAAAGGTCTTAGGTGATAGCCCTTTAGTCAGCGGATCTGCTATCATAAAATTGGTGCTAATATGCTCAATAGTCACTCTTTGTTTCTGAACTTCTTCTTTAATGGCAAAGTATTTTAATTCCATATGTTTAGCACCTTTTGAATATTTATCGCTTTTAGAAAAGAAGACTGCTGCGGAATTATCACAATAAATTTTTAGCGGCTTGGCAATACTATCAACAATCCCAAGTCCTGAAATAAAATTTCATAGCCACAATCCCTGAACTGTGGCCTCAAAGCATGCCACAAACTCAGGCTTTATAGTGGAAGCAGCAATGATAGACTGCTTTGCACTTTTCCATGAAACTGCTCCTCCAGCTAACATAAATACGTAACCAAAAGTGGATTTCCTGGTGTCTAAACAACCAGCGAAATCTGAATCTGAATACCCAACTACCTCAAGATAATCAAATCTCTTATAGGTAAGCATATGATCCTTCGTCCCTTGTAAATATCTTAACACTTTCTTTGCAGCTCGCCAATGATCCATTCCAAGATTACTTTGATATCTACCCAGCAAACTGACCGCAAAACTAATGTCTGGTCTAGTACATGTATGAGCATACATTAAACTTCCGACAACTGATGCATAAGGAATATGCTTCATTTGCTTACGTTCCAATTCAATCTGTGGGCATTGATTAAGGCTCAACTTATAACCTTTCTGAATTGGAATTGGACTCGCAGAGCACTTATCCATTTTGTATCTCTCCAGAACTTTGTTGATATAAGCTTTTTGAGACAATCCCAACAATCCTTGTGATCTATCATGGATAATTTCAATTCCAACCACATACGATGCCTCACCCATATCCTTCATCTGAAAGTTCTTAGAGAGAAACTTCTTGGTTTCATACATTATGCCAAGATTATTAGTAGCAAGCAAAATGTCATCAACATACAGGACTAGAATTACAAATGCGCTCCCACTGACCTTCAGATATATACACCGATCAACAGTGTTTTCCTTAAATCCGAAAGTAGTAATAGTATCATTGAACTTGAGGTACCACTGTCTGGAAGCTTGTTTTAATCCGTATATAGATTTCTTTAATTTACACACCATGTGTTCCTTCTCTTCAATTGGAAAACCATCAGGTTGTTCCATGTACACTTCTTCTTCTAAATCCCCATTCAGCAAGGCAGTTTTCACATCCATTTGATGAAGCTCTAAATCATAATGAGCTACCATTGCCATAATAATTCTAAACGAGTCCTTTGAGGAAACTGGCGAAAATGTCTCGTTGTAATCAACACCTTCTTTCTGAATAAAACCTTTGGCAACAAGTCTGGCTTTGTATCGTTCAATATTGCCATTAGAGTCGTGCTTGGTCTTAAAGACCCATTTACACCGACTGTTCTACAACCTTCAGGCAATACTACTAGATCCTAGACTTCATTGTATTCCATTGATTTTAACTCTTCTTTCATGGCGTCTAACCATTTTACAGAATTATCATTTTTAAGGGCTTGTGAAAACGCAACTGGATCTGCTTCCATTCCTAAGTCAATTTCAGACTCTTGTAGATAAACCATATAATCATTAGAAATGGCAGATC